GATCATTTCGAGCTATTGTTTCTCCTACTGATCTTGCGACGATCTGTAGTATTTGACACATCCTTTTATTGGAAAAATCCCCATGTCATTTAAAGCAACACTGACACTTATTGCCACCAACCTATCTGAAACTATAGTTCTGTCACATGCCTAAATTAAAGTTTTTAATTTCATTGTCATGTGAGAAGCTGGAAATTTTCTTACTGTAGTATGTCTTCGTTATTCCTCAGGAATAAAAATAAATATCTTCATGATTGTGTGGAAATACTTTAAGACAAAGAATAATTTATGGCTTTTTCAGAATTAGTGAGGACTACTTTTGAAACAAACATAAATACCTATGAAGACAAGAACTTACTCGTGATATTCCTACTGTCTTGAAAATGAGCTGCTTGAACTGTCCTTTACGTCTTGGCCTTAAGCTAAAACATCTTCAAGGAGTTTATATTTTTCAGGTAGATTGCTCAAATGACCACTTTGCTTAGTCTTCTTTGATCAGTGAAAAAAATTTATTTCGGCTGCAGAGACATTTATCTTATAAAATGAAATGTCTTTGCATTTATACAACGAAATGCAATTTTTTCCCTCGGCTTATTCTTTAAATAGTAATTCCTCTTTTAAAATTATTAAGTCTATTATTCCCTTTCAATTTTTTTTTATATTGTGGCGTTTGTTATAAATTTAGGTTAGATTAGATTAGGTTATTTGGACATGGCAAAATACACGGGGGCTGGATGCCTAAGGAGGAAGTTTGTCTTTCTTGAGGGCTATCTAACGGAAGTTGGTTCGTATTCATGTTACGCATATTCTTGTTATGAAATTCTCTAACGTTACGTAATATTTTGATTTGAAACAAAAGGAACAGATTTTCCTTTGCTTCCACAAAGCTTTGTATTTTCTTATTAGCGACCAGCATACAGCTGCCAAACTGGGTTCTTACTTAAATTTTATTAGGATTTCTTGTGGATTAAACAAATATGTAACATTATTCTACATCTGCACTGGCAGTAGCCACAAACATGCTCTCTTGAGGGCAAGGAATTGAGATATAATAAGAATAAGCTCACTGAGGACAGGTTTGCTGTAAGCAAACCTGCGGTTCGGGTGCCATTGTCTGGCACTAAATACAATAAGTCTGGGGCTGCTTCTCTCAGATGGCTTATATAGCTTCATAAGCTTATAAAACTTTATTTAAAATTGAAAAATTTGATATTTTTCGTAGCCAAAATGTAGAATATTGATATGCCAACTTTGATGTAATTGGCGTAATGGTGAAAGTTTTAGGGAAATTTAGGCAGCCAAAGATAAAATTTAATTTAGGAGAAATTTTTCACTCAACATGTTTAATAAAAGGCAATCTATCAAGAGATAGGTTGCTTTTCATTAAACGTACATGAAATACATAAGATCTAAATTTCCAGAAAACAGTTTTTTCTCACCGCTATAATATACATTTCTATGAATGCTGTAAGCTGTGTCAATTGCAAGATTTGTTTTGATATTAAATACATCATTACATATTTGATTAACTTTCAATATCTTGTTACCCCAAAGATGAAACTAATCCAAAAAGATACTGTAACGACTTGTGGTATTTAAATGGAGGAGTTATAAGGTATTTCTCCCGCCTTCTTAGCATGCCTTCGTAGTGTGGTGATCTGCACGCTTGGCGTGTATTCCAGAGGTCAGCGGTTCGATTCCCGGTGAAGGCGTTGCTCATTTTTCATCTTCCCTGCTTCCAAAAATACCTAATGTCTCTACAGAGTTTCCTCCGTCCAACACAATGTCTGACCAACTGAACTATTGACTGCCAGTAATTTGCTCCAAATAGATTTTACTTAAAGAAAATTTCTCGTAATTTGGCTTTAACTTAATAATTCTATAATGATCTGTCAGGATAAATGATTCACAATATGCAAATGCATGCTTTAAAATTTAAGTAATGTAAATAGACTTATTGTTATAAAGTAATGTAAATGTTTTAGATGTCTAATTGATGGATTGTACTACACATCAGCCGAGGGTTTTAGTTATACATTGTAATTTCGATTTAAAATTTTAAAAAAAACCTTTAAATATCGTTCAAAATGAAGTCAATAAATTAAAATTAATAAACCATATCAGAAGTTAAAACCTCTTGACAGAAAATCCTTTAATCCTTTCTATTTTCATAAACTTTTTAATTTATTTAATTTATGTTCATTCTGGGGAATAATTTTTCTCTGCTTGTTGCAGTTTTTACTTTTTTATATTTTACATTTCGTCGATGCGAAAATAAAGCTGTAAATATTGCAAAGTCATTTTACTCATGACTTATGAAGTAGAACTCAGATGTTAACACATCGTCATTCATGCTTCGATATTCTGAATATAAAACTAGCATTTTCTTTTTTTAATTTTTGGACAGCATTTGGCTTTTCGTTACGTCAATTAACTTCTTATAATCATTCTGCTGCCCCATTTCTGTACTTTTTGCTACTTCTAATGTTAACCAGCTTTGTCTTATTCATGTTGTCATTTTTCTTCACTCTTATTCTTTTATCTTATTCATATTTGAACACACTCTCATTTGTTTTCGTCTGTATATAAATATATCTGTATGTTTCTATCTCATTCTCATATCTGCATTCTCTATTCCGCATTCTCTCTGTGCGAAATACTGCTCACAAAAACGCCTCTCTGGTCTAAATTTTTTTTTTTTTTTTTTTTTTTTTTTTTTTTTTTTTTTTGCTTTTACACTTATGAGATTTTAAAAATTCCATTGCAATATAAGGTATTTCTCCCACCTTCTTAGCGAGCCTTCATGGTGTAGTGGTCTGCACGCTCAGCGCGTAATTGAGAGGTCCGCGGTTCGATTAGCGGCGAAGGCGTTGTTAATTTTTCATCTTGCTTGCTTCCAAAAATACCTAATGTCTCTACAGTCATATCATAAATTCGTTATTTGAAAGCTTAGGTACTAATCAAGGTTACCCTGCTTTTGCTAGCGTGTTTAAGACATTTAATTTTTACTATTATTAAGAACATTTTTAGCTTAAAACTAATTGCAGTGATCTGTTTGGGATCCCATTTTTCCCTTCTGTTATTTACAAAATTGCTCAGATTCTTCGAAGCTATAAATTAATTCCTCTCCCCTTAATAAACTTCATTGTTTGACATTTTAACCCCTTGTTTGTGACATTAATTCTTGATAAAAAAAATAACACCGATAATGAATTACAGCATTTCTTATCAGTGTGGTTTGATATGTATCGGGCGAGTTAAAAGGGCATCAAAATTTCTCATTAAAGCGCCTAATCTTACGTGAGAGAAAGAGAATATAATATACCCCCTTCTATTGTTAATCTTTGTTGCCCTCTAATCTTTCTTGCTCTTCTTTTAACCCCAGCTAAATTTATTCAAACATTTTTCCAGTAAATGCTCATAAATTCGATTTCATTGTAACTTTAAATTTCTTCAAAATCTGTAAACAATAGTTTTAATTCTCATCCAGTTTTTCCGAAAGTATTTAAAAAACGTAATTCACAATTCTTTAGTCACTTCATACCTTTGTTTTGCAGAAGACTATACTAAAATCGTTCTTACCTTTTATTTATCTATTTTATGTCGCTTGTTTAGGTAATGTAACTATGGCAGAATGGTCAGAAATATTTTTTGTTCTTAAAAAAAGAGAAAGCCATATCAGACAATTTTCTCATATTAAATACTAGTTTGCAAGAATACCAATTATGACAAAGATATCCTGTTTTCATTGATGTGCTATTAAAATTAATGAAAGTATTAATATGTAAGTTCTGAAAAGGCTGCTGCTTCTTTACTCATTTGAATTATAAAATTTAAATCAAAAAAATGTCTGAAATTTAAATTCTTACTTCCAGCATTCGCTGCCATAGAAAATCATAGTTCTGTTCATTAACTTTTATATTCTTCTGGGATTTCTTTGAAACGATCGTTTAATCTTAATTTGCTCCAAACCCTAATTAGTTTGCTAAATCGAAAAGAGTTTCATTATGTATTCATAATTCTAAAAAAAGCAAGCTGGCACGATGTATTCAAAAGCAAAAAGCAAGTAATTTTTATCACAGAGCTTAAATGATATTCGTAATTTAAATATCTTTTCAGATACGTAACGCTAAAATGCCAAATTCTAAGAAACGAATAATGCTGAAGTAAATAAAAGAAACGAACTCAATGGCAAATATATTTGTTTAACAAGTTTCTTGGCATAAAGAATGGTTAAAAAAAAGAGAAGAAGGAAAAAATAAGGATCAGGAAAGAGTTCGAGTTGCGGCTCTCAAACAAGCAGAAGTCTTTCTTTTCCGCCGGCAGCGTATCTTGTTTATTGAATCACTACAAATTGTCTGAATAGCTACTTGAAAAAGCTGCAGATACTTCCGAAGTATTTCCCTAGGTGTGAATTGAAACGGCAACAGTGTTTGTTATTTACTCAGTACAGGGATCTGTTTTTTTTTTTAATTTGTTGTTGTTGTTTTTCTTCGCAGAATTTCATTTAACTTGTCTTTTGTTTTCTTCTGTTTCAATTAAGCTTTCTCTAGTCTAGCATTTCATTTGAAGTGTTTTCTTTCTCGAGTTTACTCTTCCAACTTACGTTTGACAAATTAAGATTTAAAATTAAAAGCGTCAACGCATACACTTTTGTCCTTTTTCAAAAACTGTTTTTAAAAATCTTTGTATTACATTCTTATCGATTCACTAAACGCTTGGAATTCTACAAAAATACTTTGTGTTTAGAATTAACTTTGTTTGGATTCGTAATGGAAATTTGTCAGGTATTTAACTGAATTTTCTGATAAGGTTTTGAAAGGAGACAATATTAAATTGAAGAAATAAACTGCAAGGTATTGTGTGCTGTCTTACATATATCTTTGTTATATACAAACAATATTTTTATATGTACCTGCCTAAAATTGGAAAAACGTATATATAAAAAACATATATTTGATGAAAAATGTCGTTCTATCATCTGATACTAATTTACTTACTTTATCCCAAAGCCGTGATATCAGTGAATGTATAAGGTATTTCCTCTCTCTCCTTCCAGCATGCCTTCGTGGTGTAACGGTAGCACACTCGGTGCGTATTCAAGAGGTCCAGGTTCGAGTCCCGGCGAGGGCACTGCATATTTTTCACGTCCCTTGCTTCAAAAATAACCTAATGATGCTACAAATGTGCAACCAGTCTTTCGCATGTACTTATCAAAATGATTGAAACTGGTTTAACATTTCTAAAATACATTATTATCTCTGAAATAACAAAAAGTAGTTCCAATCAGAGATTAAAAAGATTAGTCAGTTCAACTTACAACTTAATCTTTTAAAAGTGCAGTTTTGTGACGAATGCAGTGGAACCTCGAGATACGAGCGCCTCTAAATGCGAGAAATTCGAGATACGAGGAAACTATGAGTATATTACGATAATATGAGTATGAGTATATTACGATATGATACGAGTAAAGTATGAGTATTCTCGTATTCGTCTCTGAATACGAGAATTAACTAGAGTAACGAGCAACGGAGCCAGGCTGGTGGTATGCGTGGCGCGTTTCCCGATCAGGCTCGACTCGGGGAATCCTCTCTTCAGATCACTCAGTGTTCTTTGAACTACGTGTTTATGCGCTTGTGAATCAATTTTTTTTTACACTGTCAATTGTTTAAAGTGAAAACAATTATTTCACGATGCCTTCCAAGGATTATTGCCTCAGATAGTGCTGCAAAGAAAAAGAAGGAAGTCATGGCCGTTGAAATTAGGAAAGAAATCATAGATAAGAAAATCACCCTAATTAAGCAGTGTGTGTGTCCCCCGTGAACTTAAATAATGACAGTGTAGTGTCACATTTTAGAGGCATCTTAAAAAAGAGCCAGAAGTAAGTGTTATTAGATAAGTTTTTCATAAAGCAAGCTGCAACTAAAAGAAAGTGATTCTGACCCAGAACCTGCTTCCAGTGAGGTAAAATTCTCAAGAAGAGAAAAAAATTCCTGAAAAAAAGGGACTTTTTCCCCTTTCCCACAGTAACCCGTTTCGTCTTCCCCACATCCCTATCGACAGTCAGGACTCTTTATAAAAGTTATGCTACGGTTATATTATTTACCAGGAAAATTGATTTTTATGTTGATATTTTTTGGAGTTGCGGAACGGATTAACTAGATTTCCATTATTTTCAATGGGGAATTTTCTCTAGATACGAGAAATTCGCTATACGAGCTCAATGCTGGAACAAAGTTAATTCGTATCTCTAGGTTCCACTGTAATACAGAGTAATAAATATAAGCCTTTTAATGATATCTTAGACATTAATCAATGCAGTATAAATATTCTACAACATCTAAGATACTGCTTCAGGTAATAAAAGTACTTGAAATATGTATTTACAGTAATTCTAATTGTTATTTGGATATAAAATGCAAAATTGGATGTAAAAAATTTAAAATGTTTATCTTTTTGATTCACACATATATTGCATTATTTATTATTCTATTACATAAGTAAACATTTGAGGTTTCTTATTAGTTCAACCGACATATTTCTTCAGTTTTTTAATACATGAAAAGTAATCCATTTCAGATTCGCTCTTCCAAATAATAGTTAAAATTCTCATTTAGCAAATGATTAGAAAAAATTGTAAAAATATGCCCATTATGTCTTGTTTTCCAATTTTTCGTTAACCTTCTTCAGAATATAACAAATATCTCCTTTTATGCAATAAGTGTGCGTACTTTCTTTCTCTTTCAATTTCTGTAAACGTTTCAAGTGTCAAGTAAACGTTTCTTCAAAACTGAAAAACAAAGTTGACTTTCTGAGCCTTGACAGGCACATTTTGTTGAAACGTCTGTTTAACTTGCCTTTTTCTATTTCTAATTTCCCTTTTGATATCCTATTTTATCTATGTAGGAGATTTTTTTTTATAAATTATGCATCCTTTCAACTCCTTTGCTCTGAAATTTTATTTAATGGAGATAATGAAGTGACTTTAATTCATAAAAACGAAAATTACCGCTCTCAATAAAATCTGAATATCAATAATTTCTTTGATTTATTTTAACAATCATTTTGTAACCTAAATAAGTTGCGTTAAGCTATTTATAGCGTGTGATAAAGAAAATTCTAGAATGATCACAGTATTATACATAATAGCTAGTTGATTTGAGATAAAAGGTTTCAAGGCATTTTATTGACTGTGTGAAGTTCTCCTGAAAAACACAGATACAATGTTGTTTATCTCTAGAACTGCAGTAAACCTTCTTCCCAAACCTCTTACTAATGTTAGTGACAGTTGCATGAAAGGATATGATATACGTTTTCCTCTTCACTTCTAGACATTACATTACCAGTGCTTAGTTTGAGAAAAGAAGCTGAACTTACTCTTCTCAATCAAAACTATATAGAATTGCAGAAAAAATAGGCCGAAAGCTGAAATAAAAAGAGAAATTAGCTAGCTGTGCTGAAGCACGAAATTGAATTCCGAATTATTCTGTACCAGATGAACTAATATTTCGCTAAGCTTTGAGATCTATAAAACAAACAATTTATATCAGCTGTACTGTTTGAAGGACGAAAGAAGCGGAGCTTTGGATATAATCTAAGGATTATGTTCCCAGCAGGCTGATTAGGTAGAAGAAATGCCCCATCCTTCTTAAGCCACTCGTCAGCAGAGGTTTTCATCTTTCATTTCTTCGTTACGTTCCTTCATAAACGTCAGAAAAAAGAAGGCTCAGCTTTCAAAAGCAGCACGGAATAATAGCTACAAAAGACAAATGATCCAATTGAAGGGAGGGAAAGAAAAGTTTTTTCCTCATCGAAAAGTCCCATCTAATCCCTCACTAAATTCAAAAGGCTTGCCTTCTCCATTTTGGTTCTACAAATTGATGTTGGAATGAATTGAATTGATTTTATTTACTTGTTAAGGTTTCTTTCGCGATTTTAATGGAAGTTTCTTTATGTTGTAATGTTTATTTACTTCAGATATGCATATTTTTTTAAGTAAGTAAATATGCTATAACCTGAAAATCTTATACAAATTCAATGATCATAGCGTAGCACATAAAAGATAGTAGCTGATTGTCGTGATTTGCAAGCCAGTTGAAAGGCAACGAGATATTTTTGCAATGAGTAACAGCTTATTTTTAGCCAAAAAATATCTCACAAGAATTGCTTTGTGACTTTATGCATGAGGTAAAAACTTCGCAGTCATCTTCCTTCTACCCAGTTCTTCAATTAAAATTAACTTCATTTTTTCTCGAATAATTTGTAATTCTTCGAATAGCATTTTCGCACTTAATGTCAGACTATAATTTTGAAGACTCAACCCGCTCACATGCCAGAATCTCCTCCGCCTTTAAAGCTCAGTTTATCAGACTCTATCGTATCTCACACTGGTAAATATTAGCGTCCATCATTGTTGCCCTTGGCTCTCTGCCTCTGTGGTCAACCTTCGCATTCGTGTAAGATCAACCCAGGTTCCTGCTTGATTCATGCGACTTCGCAGAGAAGCAAATGCATTCCCGAAGCAGGCTTTCTGGGACTCTAGAGCTGCCGGTTTAAGATAGTGAAGGGCGTGGGACATATATCTGCTTACCTTTGTTAGACAGCAGATGTCCCCGTCCTCCGTCACCTGTCACCTGTGGTCATTCTTCATATTTTATCTCCCATCCAAACACACTCAACTTCCTCATGTCCTCTTCGCTCATAGCATTTTTAGAAACTCGAACTTATCAGTAGCATCTTTTCCGATTTTTTCATAAAATTTTATGTAAATATGCTGCTGTAAATTTCGGGCATCCATATTTGAGCCAAAGTTCACGCACAGATTTTTATTTATCTGCTCTGTAACTAACTAGCATTTGCTTCCATCAGTTTCAGATTTAGGCATTTATGATATCAGATATATTGAAATGAAGATATTCCTATGATTTTTCATGCAATTAGGTCAAAGACTACTACGCGGAGAATTGCCGCACCTCGTAATTTTAAATTAATATTAGACTTTTTTTTTCGGTTAAAGATTAATTCTCTCTTTGAAGCAGTAAAATTCCGAAATTTTTCAAACTTCTGAAGTGACTGATATTCCGTAATTAAAATGTAGAAGATGTAGGTTTTATCTTCCAAACCAATATAATTGGTTACCAAAGTTCTTGATTGCAGTATCTTCCTTGCTATGAACAATTAAGGAATACTTGAATGCAATTATTTCAGTGTCGGTTACATAAAAATGATTTCACTCCGTAAATCCTAACAGCCTCTGATATGATTATTTGTTCATTCATTTAAAACAAATATCTTACTACAGTTAGCTTTTGTGACCGAATTTCAAAGCAAGTCAGATCGTAAAATCCCCCTGTTAAAGGCGCATGAGGTCAGATAATGGGACTAGGGTACGTCAACTGATTACGTTGAAAAGATCTCACTTTTAAGTATTTAATCTACTTCTTCTAGGTTGTTCATGGAACTAGAAGATCCTGAGTTAAAATCCCACCAGATATCAAACCTTGTGGTGAAGATTAATTTAAAAAGGTGCAGCCTTTGGAGGAAGGGAGAGGTCATCTCTCCTACCACTGGGCTTTGCTGGGATATCTCTCACCCCCCCCCCAACAAAAAAGAATGAGAAGAGGCACATCTGTGAGATATGGAATTAATGCGTTTATGTTAATAAGTCATATCACCAAGTTCGTATTGTTGAATTTCATCCATAATAACCGGAGCTGGTAGTTGCTAACTGGCTTGTGCTCAATGGACTTCAAATCCCAGGCGAAATTTGGATTTTCATAATTTTATATATAGAATACTAACTCATCATTTCGTTCAAATAGTTACCATTAAAAGAAACACGACTAAAGCAATAAATGCTCTACAGGGGGATTAAAACATTAAATGTAATAGTAATGCCAAAACGAGTCCATTGATTTAGATTATAACCATACCTTTCGCAAAATATTGTGCAAGCATCCTAATCAGAGATAGTGCTCTCGATATTATATACATGCTAAGCACGAATTTTTAAACCGAGAAAGGGGGTTAGCCCTTTTAACAAAATAAGCTTTGGTGAATATGTTTCAGTTTATGAACAGAAATAAGTTTAACTAATATGGCCCAGTAAATTACATTTTCTACTGGGTAACTTGTAGAG